ATACCGATTCATTGACCACTCCACATCTGCGTAGCACGGGAGACTCTTGGGACAACCAGAGAAGCCGCCTCCGGCATCCCGAACTTGTAAAAACTTCAAGAACCATCTCCCACGAAAATGGAATAGTCACTGAATTAGAATCGCCGCCTTCATTCGACACCACATCACCACCAGAGCTTAAATCATAGTTGTCCCTTATTATAACTTTGAGCCATTCCAAGAAGAGTTGAAGGATGCCGGAAAACACAAATAAACCGCATCCATGGTGAAATAGAACCTCGGAATAAGAGCCTCAGGTTTGTTTCATTTTGTTGAATAATAGCCTCGGAATAATGAGGACTTGGTCATGTATGTGAACCAAAGATGATAATAATGTAGTGAGTAATATCAATATGATAAGCTTTTATGTTTTTCCATTTGTTCCTTCTCCTTCTTCGGGAGGGATTCTCACGGGTCATCGGCATTTCTCTTGGAAATGACGGCGATGATACTTTCCTTTCCGTCGTGTGTTATTCTCGGAGAGTTTAAAAGAGACATCACCACTATCACCATCGACAGAGGAAGAGTAAATATAAGACGCAAAGCCAATTACCGGTGATTTCGTTGGAGCTAGCGGTGTTTCCTTTCAATCTTGTTGTTTTCACCAAAATTTGGACCTATCATTCTAGGTTTTTCTTTCCTATAACTTTTTCATTTCTGGTCGATTCGATTTTGTAGTTGTTTCTTCCTTTTTTTTTTTGGGATAAAATGTGAATTTTATTTACCAAAAGCTAGAACTATATCTTTACAAGGTGCTCGGCGGAGCATAAAGTTTTCAAAAAGAACCAAAAAAAGAATTAAAAGCCTAATTGAAAACAAGATAAGGATATGAGATCCAAGCAAGTATGCTAACTACTCATACGTGACCCGATGCAAGAGAAGATTCCGGAATGACTTCCGATTAATCCGAGCAAGTATTGAATCCTTAATGCTACGGTCAATCTACTTGAAGATGACGACATGAGATATCGAGAGAGAGTTGTGTAATCTTCGTTCATAGTATATAGTTATGTTCTAGGAGATGGTTCTATAGCCTGTGTTTTTCTCGATTCTTATGTGGGTTTATTATTGAAAAAAGCGAATTAAGGAGAAGAGAATAAACGATATATGAAAATTTTTTTAGAAAAATACACAGAGTTGAGATATGATCTCTCTCCTTAATTCATAAAATCTCACACCCCGTAGTGTGAGATTTTTGAGATTCTGAATTTTAGGATAAAACAGTGTTAGCCTATAGTTGCGACACTCTGACTATAGAATCTACGAACTATGAATCTACTATATACTCTCGAAACACTTACAGAGAAAAGAAGAGAGAGATTGGTGGAATTTTTGTAAAGTGAATGTATAAAAAATTGTAAGAGTGTGTTTTGGAGAAGAGAGGAAGTGTGCCTTTTAAGGCTTTTCCAAAGCAAGATTTATGGAATTTGTTTAATACAAAATTTGACTCAACAAAGCCAAATCATGGCATTAACACACGTCCGTTTCATGCTACTTCTTGTCCAAATTTAAAAAGAATACGTTTAGCATATCTTGACGACTAAAGTCAATCATGGAGTGATGACAATTTGATGCTAACGTAAAGAAAATTATTAGTGCATGATCTTGACAATGAATGTCAATAATAATGCCATATGACCACTTGATTTTCTCGTTTCTTATTTTGGAAACTAGTAAGATATTTTGTTTTGTACTAAACATAGTTAATCACAAAGCTTTGATGAAATTTTGGTGAATTTGGCCAAT